CCAACCCCTTCCCATGACCATTATTCTAGTCTTGTCAATTTGTATAAGGTCGGATATAAGCATATACTTTCTCCGTCTCATATTATATGACACTATTTGATTAGTTAAACCACTATAAATTCTTGAAATTTGTGAAAATTGAAACATCGAGGCCATGAATGAGCCAAACTTCTAACGGAGGTTAAAGTTATTTTTTTCGCAAAATACAAGGAAAATTTTGGAAAAAAATTTCCCTTATTAGTATGTTAGTGTCAAACATAGCATTGAAACATTTAAAAATGAAAAAAAATATCACATAAATTAGAAAAAGATAAAAATAAAAAGGTAACAAACCTTCAGAAACCCATTTAATATCAGAATTTTCTTTAAGATCTCCAGGAGGAGGAACCAAAGGAGCTGATTGAAATGCTCCTGGTGATTTGAATTCTTTCATCTGCCAAAAACATTTAAAAACGATTAAAAATCGCGTTTATTCATTAAAAAAATCAATTCAACACATTTCTTTAATCATTATGATAAACCAAGTAGTTGAATAAGAGATGAATAACTAATGAGGGCTGTGGCGGAATAATATATATTTCATCCTTAATTAGAGATCTCGGGTTCGAGCCCCGGGTATGAAGTAACCTTTGTTAAGAAGTGTTTTAATCCTCAAAGTGAAATTTTTCGGCGGGAATCCGAATTTAATTCAAGCTCAATATAAATATCGAATATCGAACAAAAAAATAAAAATAAATAAGAAAAGAATAATCAACATAAGAAAGTAAAATAATTATTACCCAGCTTGGATTATCAACTGATGGGCCATCCCATCCTATATGTGCAACATGTTTTACATCTGTAGGAAAACCAATTTGCATTTCTTTTTCTTTATCTTGATCTGCACCATACAACGGAACGATTCATATAGTTGATCTCAATTGATTCAGAATTGAGATTTACTCAATTGCTCGATCGCTCGACTTAGTAACATACATTTTCTTCCAATCATATAGAACAATCATTTTCAAGAAAACCAAAAATACCCACAAAGGAAAATGTGAAATAATATTGAAAATTTGTATAATTAAAAAATCATATACTCACCAAAAACTTGAGAAATATACCTAAGGCCTTTAAGAAGGCCTTTCACCTTTGTGGTCATCTCTTCAAATATTTCTTCTTCCAAAGGCTATTCAAGAAGATAATAATTCACCTAAAATCAATCATTTGCTTTTGTTGTATAGAGAAATACATTAAAAAAAATTGTTGAATTTGGAAATATAAACTCAAAATGGACTCGAACCCTAAAAGTAATTTAGGTTTGACTCTTCTTTAATTATAATAAAGAAAAATGATGTTAAAGCAATATTTTCACTCATTCAATGGCGATGCATTGCAGGTTATTCCTAACCAGAAAGCCTAGCATAATTTTAGGAATGGAAATTCATTTTTTACTTATTTTTATTTATTGTTTATTTATTTTAAGGAGAGTATTTTATATATTTGTCCTTAATTAGAATCTCTGTCTTCTGACTTTTTCATAGTTGACAACTTTTTGAAGCCTAAACATGGTAGCCACTAAAATTCTATGATGACACTCTTATTTATGGATATTTTTTATGGGTGCAAATGGAAAAGAAAAATCATCTTTAAAAAATTAGCATATAATATTGGACACAATTATTAATAGGCGTCGATGATTAAGGCATAATTTCACAAGAATTTCGGTATAATGTCACGTACATATTTCTTAATATAATAAATAAATAATAATTAAAAAATATATAAAAGGATGCTTAGCAAGCTTGGAACTTACAACTTGTTTGGATGGTTGTTACATATTATTTTATAATGTGTCGTATCGTATCATATTGTATTGTACTGTATCATTTAATGAATATAATGTTTGGATGAATTGTGTCGTTTTGCAGTCGTTTTATGATATCATGCACTTGTAATATGATGAATAAACTTGTAATATTATTAAAAAAATCATAATGCGGTATATAAAAAGGTAGGGTAAATGATAAAATAAAATTATTTAATAATAATGAAGTGTGTGATTGAGAGAAAAAGAAAAGGTAACGATACACCCATACCAAATCAGTCGTTACATAAAGTGGCACATTTCATCGTTACGTAATGACGGATTTAACGATACGATACAATAAACTTTAAGTAATAATCAAATTTAAAGTAACAATACGATACAATACAATAGGTCACAACCATCCAAACAAGTTGTTAGTATACACATACAATTAGTTGATTTTGCCTAGTTGAATCTTTTGCTTCAACTGTGTAATACTTTCACTAGTAAGTCCGCAGTATTCCAAAAGATTATAACTCTTTCGAGATAATTTTTATATTAAATATAATTCATCCTCTTCAAAATCTCCAATCAATTTTTTATACGTTTTGAATAAATAAACAAAAAATTGTCGTGATCTTTTTGTTATTTTCAATGGAATAAGTTCAAAAATACCCTCAAAGTTTGTGATTTCTCTTATATTTACCTTTTGCTTACCTATTGATCCATAAAAACCTTCACTGTTAACTTGGGTGAAATTTAAAAATAGTCAGATTTACAAGTGGTAATTAAAAAATAACCATAATTTTAAAAGTAATCAAAATTTAATTGTTTTTCATGTAAAAATAAATCTGAACGATTGTTCAAAATCCGAAAAAACATTCTAGTATAATATACTAGAGTTCCAACATAATATAGTGGAAGTTCATATGCAGGTGCTCCAATCTCCGATATATGTCGGAGCCAAGATGGACATCCGTTAGAGGAAGGGGCATATTTGAGACGAAAACTGGCGAATCATCATATTGTAGTTGGGAGAAAATAAACTTAAAACAAGAAAGATGGACAACATGAAGCTCTATGATTTCATGCTACTATATTCTCTGATTCAAGAATATGATTCCAATATTTCAACCACCAGAATACAACATGTACACCTCATATCACAACTATAATGTACAAGCTCCTCTCTTTGTAACAAAAAGAGAAACAATTACACACCAAATGCAAGAAGAGAAAAAAACGAAGCATACCGCGTTTAAGCAGGGTCGGTGTTCTAGAAGAGAGACCCACTCATGACTCATCAGTAAAAGAGGGAGAAATCATTCCCACCAGGAAAAATGGAAATATAAAAAAAATTAAAAAATACAACAAAACTTTGACCAAAGGGGGTGCTTGCTGCAGTGAGGAATAGCAACTCCAACTAGGATCTTTTGACCTGCATTAAGTATAGTATGAGACAACTAAAATACTTGATATCAATGTTCATGTACCAGATTGAAGGAGCGGACGGAGGATTTTTATCTTGAGTTTAACTTTTATACACTGACAATAGAAGAACTGTTACACTATCAAGTTATCTAAAAGATAACTACATGTAATTGTCCAAAACAATTTGGATGAGTAACCTAAAAAATAAGACAATAACCTACTACAATTGGTTAAAAAACATTTGCTAGTGTAAAAATTCTATACCTATCAGTGTATATAACTTAAATCCTTTCTTCTTTTTCCTTTGAGGGGGGTGTGTGTGTGTTTGGTGGTGATGGTGGGGTTTGTGTGTGTGT